ACTTAAAATTTTGACTGAATATCTGGCTGAGCAACTAGCTTACTTTTAAAGAACGATCGTTAAATGAAAATTGTACATCTATTTTATGCAAAATCTATGGTGATTTATGCAAGTGATCGCAAAAACTAAATGTAAAGCAACAACCATTCATGCAGTTAATGACCTGAGTACTTCAAGTCCTGTGCAAAAAGGCATGATCGCACGGGCCCGCCCGGTGCGTTCCAGCCTGGGTTACATGAAGTCCGGTCGTTTTTTCGGAAAATGCTCATTTTGTAAAAAAATGACAAGTGCAAATTTTTCGAAAAAATGCAAATCCCCAGTTCACTAGAAAGTGAGAGTATTACTTAAACGGTCGACTGTCAAAAAATACATTTATAAAAATTGACTAATGTTCATTTACATATTTGGGTGAGGGCGGTCATTCGCTGCAAAACGCACTCGTTTCCGATTTTTCGGTAAAGTTGAGTATTTTTTGCGCCTACCTGCGAAGAATTCTTCCTCCAAGCAGAATTGAGACTGTGCTTGAGATTAGAATATTCCAGCGAAATTTCAGCCTCGCAGCTTGTCCGGCAAGCGGAATATCCACTTCGCTACAAATATTTTTGAAGTGCTCTAAGTCGTAGCGCAAGTGCAGTTCAGTGCTCATTTCAGGTACAGTGTTCCCTAGAGGAGCAACAAATGTGCTGACAAAATTTCAGCCAATGCTTCCCGGCAAATTTTTGATTAGCACAGTACCAAGTTGCCAAATTTAGCGTGATCGTGCGCACTGCACAGGCGTACGCAGCAGCTGAATTTGAAATTTTTAGTTCGCACATGCACGGAGAATATCCCTGCAAATTTTCAGCTTTGTACCTTGTCCAGTTCACGAAATAGTTTCCTTTGAGGAGTCCGTACGCGGGGTCTAGACGCGTGTGGGGGAATATCTTGAAACCGGGTAGGGGGGGAGGTGACACACGGGGTAGGAACATATACCCAATGTCTCAGCCCTCCAGCTTTCCCGGTTGCTGAGATGAAAGTGTGGGACAAATGCACTCGCTTCTGAACACACACACAGACAGCCTCTCGACAACATGTGCTTTTGCTAGCTGTAGCGGCGCTATAGCTGTGCTGTGCTATAGCGCTGCACAGCAAAAACGCATAAAAATGCTGAAAAAGCATACCTAATACGACATGGACAGCACAGCACAGCAATTCCTGCAGACCGTTTAAGCAGCAAATGCCCGATTCGAGTTATTGGTACCAACTTGTTCGAAGCTGTAAATTAAAAAGTAGGATCGGTTTATGATAAGATAAAGCAAAAAAAGCTGGGTGTGCGCCAGTAGTTTTCTCAGGTCGCAGAAATTTGAAATTGAGAAAAATTGTTAATTTTTAGATCAGACGTCGAAAGCATTGCCAGAAATAAAACCAAGGACCACTACTACTACTACCACTACTACTACTACTACTACTACTACCACTACTACTATTACCACTACATCTACAACACGTATGTGAATTTCTGCATTTGTCAAATAAAGGATCAGTTTCTGATTTTCCTGACTATTAGATGCGAGTTTGTCACAAAAGTTCACTCATTACAGTGGAGAGATAAGTCGCGCTCGTACATCATGAACATTAAAAAGGGCAATAAAAGATACGACAGCTGCTAACGGGACAAGATTAAAGAGGACTGTATCTAAACTAATGATGACATTGTGTATCTAGAAGTGTGAACTAAATGGATTAATCAAGAAAAGAGAGAAAAGCACGATGGAGAAGGAAAAAGAGTTCGGACTAATAAATTTTGGCTAAATCATTTTAGTTCGTTAAGTTTTGAACGTCTTTAACCCAGCTTTACGTTTGAATCTAAAGTCTTAATCATATAGCTGATATAATAACACCAATTGGTTCATTTCTACGCCATTAAAAAATTATGTCAAGGCTTTGTTGTAATTGTATGAAAATGTTATATTTGGATATGATAAATATCAGAATGAACTAAAATGATATGATAAATGTCAAAAATGAAAAAGTTTAAAAGTCAAAAGGCTGGAACCTTCACTGCTCTCTAAAAATTTTTGTTTGCATCCAGGTCTTCCTCATTTCCTGCTAGAGCTAGTGCTGTCATAATTCCGCATGCTTCTCCAGAGCTATGTCGTCGCAGTGCTTAGTTTTTAAAAGTTTGACATATTCTAAACTCACTGTTTCTCAACTGAGTTTGACACCGGTCAACAGCTGTTGATATTTTTTAGATCCAACTGTGGGATTTTTTAATCAGATACACTTTCTATAACTATACTTTTTTTAACTATGTATAACAATGGCTTTTCTATACTATCTGAACAGTTGTGGTTTATCATAACCGTAAAGTAACATGATTGTCTCCCCTTTGCTCACTGTCAGAAGCGGCACAATAAATTAGCCGGTAATGTTCGTCCGTAAGGGTAGCAAGCTTGTTGAAGAGCAAAATTTCTGAAAGATTGACCAGTAAGTTTACAGAAACTCTAGGTTGGAACGCACAAGATTTGCGGGTGCAGTTATGCGTTTTGCATTAAACCAAAAGCAGTCAAGTCGCGTTAGCTGTTTGAATGATTACTACTTTGCACTTACTTTGTGCGCTCTCTAACTAAACTGCCGTAAATTTTGCACAAGAAAAATAAACCACTTGCGTCAAACGGTCATTTTATGAAAACGGCCTAACTGTTCAGCGAGCAATCTTCCCGCCAACACTTTCAGCTGCCCATGCGTAAGAATTACGCATAGCTGGGGGTTGAATTTGGAATCTTCAACTGTACTTAGACGGGCACATTCTTTCAAAATTCCAGTTTTTTGGCTTTTTGGCCCCCGAATTAGCAACTTTCCCGCCAAAACTTTCACGTGCCTATACACGAGAGCTACGCTTACCTGAGGTCTGAGTTTGAAAAATTTACGTCATACTTGGATGGAGAACAACCACTTAAAATTTTTGGAAATCTTGTACGATTTTCATGGTTATTCTTATGACCACGAGCTTCCTTCCTTTGCGGAGGCGATTTTATTGGAATTTCGGGTACTTTTTAAGCAAAGCAAATCGTACTTCTGTCTTAGAAGAGGTTGACACCACAAGTGTGAAGAATGAGGTTTTAATCCAGTTAATGCGGTAAATTTGAATTACATTTGTTTGTTGCTCACTCGACTTGCCTTCAGTTTGTAAATTGTGCTTCCATTTACACCGATGGTATCGATATTGTGATATTTTGCTTCACTGTTCAAATTGTTATTTGGTCCAACTTAATTTGTATTCGACGTATAGTTTCTTATAAGCAAAACTTTACGTTCAATTTTACACTGGAAGTATTAGTGGTTGCAATGAATTTGAAGATTTTTTTGATCGGCTTTGAAAGGTCTAAAACTAGGGATATTGCACACTTCATGACAGCTATTTTAACTCTTGGGCTAGTAGCTTGGAACTTTTTTTGCAACAGGCCTGGCAGTAAAATGAAACGTACTAGTTGAAGAAACAAAGAAAAACTCTTTCACTGTTTTCATTCCAATAACACAGCTTCATTTAGCGACAACTCCAACGATCGAAATCGATGCCGACTCCATTGGAACGGAATTTGTGCTCATTTTCCCGGGCAACAGCGGTGGAAATACGTCTAGGCTGCCAGAAATAAGTGTGGATTTAATCAATCCGACCTCCAGAAATGCTACCGTTCAAATCCTCAAACGAAGAAGCTCTACTCCAATAGCGCAAAATGTACAAGTCCCACCTCATTCTGTTGTGAAGGTTGGCATTTACAATGAATTCTGTGATCACCGTTTGTTGCTCGTTGCGCAGTTTCCTAGCTGAGGACTGTAAGGAATAATCTAATCCCGGCCACATTATAATTAACTATCAAATTTTCCAAGTTAACATTCATTCTTTTGCGGTTCGGCCTCGCTTCATTTTTATGCGTTTTTGCTGCGCGCCATAGAGCTGTTACAGCCGGCAAAAACGCATATTGTCAAGAGGTCGTATGTGTGTGTATGTGCGCGGAAACAAGTGCATCTTGCCACTCACTTTCATCTCAGCAACCAGGAAAGCTGGAAAGCCGAAACTTTGAGTATATATTCCTATCCTGTGTGTCACCTCCCGTTTCAAGATCTCCCCCCACATGCGCCTAGACTCCGCGTACGAACCCCCTGAAAAAACATGCATGTCTCTTTGGCGGGAAACGATTTCGCGAATCAGGCAAGGTACAAAGTTGAAACTTTGCAGAGATATTCTTTGTGCATGTGCGAGCTAAGGATTTCAAAATCAGCTGTCGCGCACGCTTGTGTAGCGCGCACGATTACGTTAATGTTGACAACTTGGTACTGTGCTAACTCGAAAACTTGCTGGGAAGCAGTGGCTGAAATTTTCTCAGAATTTTTTTTGCCCAAATGGGAAACCGTACATCTAAAATGAGTACCGATCTGCACTTGCGTCACGATTTAGAACGCTTTAAAGATATATATAACGAAGTGGATATTTCACTTACCGAGTAAGATGCGAGACTGAAATTTCGCTGGGATATTCTATTTTCAAGTGCGGTCTTAATTTTGTTTGAAAGTGAAATTTCCTGCAGGTGAGCAGAAACGAGAGCGTTTTGCAGCGAACGACCACCCTCATCCAAATATGTAAACGAACATTCAGTTCATTTGCATACATGGATTTTTTGATAAACAACCGCTCGAGCAACATTTTCACTTTTTAGTGAACTGAAAATTTGCATTTTTTCCAAAAATTTGCATTTTCAAAAAGGGAGCATTTACCGAAACAACCGGGCTTCATGCAAAAAACTGGTAATCATGTGCCTGGAGGTCCATGCGGCTCTATAATGCACTTCCTTCATCCCAACCGACGCCCTTTCTCCTGCATGCTGGACAGGGCGAAAATTCGACTAATATGAGCCCAAGTGCTAGGCTACAGTGCAAGGGTCGTTCCTGCTATTAGCGACCTGCGAGTTTAGTTCAAAAACGCATGATCGCAATGGCAAGCCTAGTGCATTCCAGCCTGAGTTATTTTGTTATTCTGCTTCCGAAATATCATTTTAAGATTGGCTAAAGTTCGTAAAACTTTTGATCTTGCGGCCTAATGCTTTTTTTTTTTAAATTAGGATACGCTATACACCATCTGTATTCGCTTTATTAGCTATTTTCAAACATTTCCTGCAAAGCGCGGAGGACGCCCTGAGCTGGATGTTTTTCTTTGTGCATGTGATGATCACTTACGCAAACCAATAATGCTTTATAAAAAAAAAAAAAAAAAAACCAACCAGCGATAAGAAAGGCGAGGCGAAATCGACAGTTCCTCCGAGCTACTGCCTCATAGCAAGAAAATATGCCGAAGCGGGTGGAGAATCGACAGCAGCTCCCAGCTGTTGCCACATAGTAACCTGGAATACAAAAAGCAATCACTGCTCATTTGTAATCACATTATTTATATATCACGGAGGAGGAACTCGAGTTACGAGACAGGGCATTTGCATATCACATGAAGCCGAATGGCAACTTGACAAGACGAAAAGACTTAGCCGCTAACTTCCTTCCTTACTAATTCTTTGCTAACAGCACCCCTTTCCCTTCGCAGCATCTTCCATCTATCAGAACTCGTAATGTAGCACCCACCCCTATGTGTCGGATGTTCTTTGACAGTTGACAGAAGCCGGATAATAAGAAATTGATAGCGCTAGTTGCTTAATCACAGCTAAATCTGTTGAGCTACAATCAGCTCCGAATTCAGCTTGCTGCCTTTTATCGAAAAGTTTTCTAGTCGGTTGAAAACAAATTATGTGACTTATAAATCTGAAAATGTAGACGATGATTTTCCGGATCATTATGTCGCTTTTTTTGCTTTGCAAAAGTCTCTGCAAATGTATTATCTGCTGAATATCAATGACAGAGAAAAAAGTTGATACTGAAAATTCATCCAAATTTCCTAGCGTCTTATATGTCGTCCTACAACTGTTTAATCCCATTTCAGTATGAGCTTGACGCATCGACCTATGCCATGCTTTGCGCCGGCAAAGATTCATTTGTGCGTTGTCCGGATACATCTATAGCTATTCAAAGCAGCAATCCTATATCAGTGGTGGCGCATAATCACCTCAGTGGAGTTGCTGGCGATAGCTACACTGGTATATTTTTTAATTATAAGTAGAAATAAGCAGTGCCCGGTATTGATTATTACAAGGTGCCTGGCTTAAGGACAGCAGTGTTTTAACGGAACATTTCTTAGCGTGGTTGCCAAATCTTGCAATTTCTGGCATGACTTGCTCTTGCACCCGACGTCCCTTTTTTGAGGTTTGCTGCTTGAAGGGAAGAGTCTTTTCAAACCGTGTACTGTACCGTTTTGCCTCCTTGTGTCTGCCCTCCTCTTCTCCTCTCCCCGCTATCATGCTGTTGTCTGATGACGTCTTAAAGCGACGTCCAGAAAAGTTGCTGACGGGGGACGCGCAGAAGACGCGACACACGGGAGGATTGGGTAATCTTTGGCGAAAGGCCCTTTGCGCGCGACTTTTTGACATCCTTATTCTAATAAAATGAATCGACTTGAGGCGACGACAAATTCGCCCTATTCTTTGCTCTTAAGTTCTGTCTTCCGAAAGGCAGCCTTTGGTCGAACTCGCTGCTGATGACCCGAAGTTCTTATAGCAACACTGACTGATCCCCTTACAGTCATCAACCACGCTAGTGACGCATTAACTGCGCCACCCCTTTAACACGATATCCGACTTATATCAGCGAAACTGGATCTGGTCCGCCTCTGCATTCGCCGACGAGTTCTCGAACGAAGTGAGCTACCCTCTGAAAAAGATTTTGTGTCTATCAAAAATTTCATCGCGCTGAAGTAAAAGTGGAGTCAAGTGGAGGATGCATTTTACCCGAACATTATCGTAATCTGAAATATCTATAAAATATCTATCTCTAATTCTATTAAAATAGCTTTTGTTCTGTATAAAGGTAATTTCTTTAAAAATGCATAATTCCAAAATTCGAAATAAAATTTGAAGCTTTTATCCGCTAGTTTCACTATTTTGCTTTCAGTGCTGCCGACTTCGATGGCAAACACCACGTACGGCTTGTCAGTGCCAGCCTCCGCTCCAGACGAACAGGGAACAGCTATCGTTTATTTCTTGCCAATCGACAAAAAAGTAACAGTTTATGTCCAAGTGTTCAATTCGACAACGCAAAATTCCTTGACGCAAAGCACTCTGCATCTGGAGCTGGTTCGTTTTTGCCACTTTTGCGTGAAATCAGACCTTTAGGATGAGTGATCAAGCCGATTACGCTCAAACGGCTGGTAATTAAGATTTCCAAGCAAATTCCATCTGCCTGGCAATTGTGTAAGAAGTATTCTTGCAGAATGATAGTGGAACCCTTTGGGCATACAAGCGAACCGCTCAGGGATTCGTAATGTTTGTCAATGGCACAGGAAAATTCGCTATTGTGGCGGCAGTTAACTCGCTTCCACTCTCTGATGACGAATTTGAGTTGAGCACTGACTTTGGTTGCTTCATGCCAACGCCAATCCTAGATCAAAGTAATTGCTATTTTCAGGAAAGAGCAGCTTTTTGGACATCAGGCCGTATAACTGGATAGAAATAGTAAAACAGCTGCTATCAGTTATTAATAGGAGGAACTTTTATTTCCTTCATAAACCTAGAACGCTTGCTTTATTACTTTTAGGGGTTTTTGGAAGGATTCATTTCTAGTCATTCTTTCTCATAGTGCACTCTTAGTTCGAATATTTTATGGGAATATTCCTCATCGTGCATTTGGTATGAAAAATTCAATCCAGATTTATGGAAGTTCATTTGAAATGGACAGCCATTATGAGCTTAGTTCGAATCGCTTAACCATAAATACATACAATCCAGCACACAAGCAAAAACGTAACGGTATTCGAAAAGAACATTTATAAGAAGATGCAATAAAATCAACAGCTATGCTTCCTTTCTAGCTAAAAACTGCGATGAGGATCAGAGGACTCAGTAGCACCTAATGTGGCCTGAACACCTGTTTTCACATTATATTACCTACTCTTCAGTCGAAAGTAATTGAATACCTAATGGAAATTATTTGAAGCGTGTGATGGCAGTACTGTTCTGGACACTCACATCACCACATTGCTCACCACGGGGCGTTTCCTTGTGACCGTACCTGCCGCTCCGTGTCAGATATCCGTTGAAACTCATACTGACAGTGGTATAACTGATGTTACGACAGTATCCGTCAAGAACAACATCATCGATTTATGGTCCATACATGGCAATAACGCCGCTTTCCTATCGAAGTATGTTTGCTTCGGCACACTTCGCGGAGGCATTCTTCTCCTTTACTAATAAGCCCTACTTTTAGAACATCTTCACTCATCTCTTTCGGTAATGGTGACTTTGTGGATGAAGACCTAAGCACTTTTAATACTCTAAGGGTATGATATTTCGCTGGGTACTAATGCATCAGAGTGGTCGTGCCTTCCTCCTCCCTCCTTCGCCGGTCTCCCTTTCTCATACGTTCCCGGTATGGTTTTTATAACTGTGTAAAAGATGAGTACATCAATTTCTTGCAAAACTAGTTGCGTAATAACTCGTTGCTTGGTTCGAGGCGTCTGCAGTGGGAAATTCCCTCTCCACCCCACAATCTGCTTATCTGTTTAATCGCAAAATTACTGATGACGAAAGTGTTGGAAGAGAAGTTAACACCCTTCTTGGTGATTAGCGTAATTTTTGTATGAGTTATAGGTGAAAATAGAATAGGAATGAGAAAGGGTTCGTTTCAGAGGAATGGTGTCTTTTATTTGTGTGTTTCAGGCGCGGACTTCTGCAAATACTGCGTTACGGTGGCTATGAGAGACAAACGGGCGGCTACATATCTGGCGCATTTCTGGACATGCTCCCTTCACGAACGCAATTCGTCACCGCAAGCACAGCATTCTCAACGCTGTCAGACAGCAACTTGATTACGGTGAATACTACTTTTCTTGACTAAAGAGTTTGAGATTGTACAGCTGCTTTGAATTTTACTTGCTAGAATTAAAAAAAAGAAAATTTTGAGAAAATTTTGCGTAATACTAAAATTTCCTTTCCTCCTCAAATTTCATTTGTTTGTTCCATGCGACTTCTGCAGCGCACCAGTCATTATTTCACAAAAGTGCACTAGCTGCTAATGAATGAAGTGATGACTTGCGAAGAAACTGCATTTCACAAGAAACTATATCATTTTTCTTCCTCCCCTGGTCGATTCTGAACCTTCAGCAACGTTAAAATAAAGTATTACGTGGAGTATGGATACGAGTCTAGTATTTCAAGGAAGTATGTGAGAATTTTCTTGCCCATCCTAAACGTTGTTTTTTTTTAACTGTGGCTTGCCGGTATTTCAAAGCATTCATCCTCTACGATAAGCGTAAAATATTCAAAAATGCTCCGACTAATGCCTTACAATAAGAACAATCAGCAGCTGGTCAGGCTGTCCATGGTTTCCGCGTGGTGTCTGGAAACGAACTGTTGACGGCTTTGGTTTCTCGATGTTTATTAGCACCAGTTATCATCGCATCGAATAAGCAAATGAGTTGCGAGCTTTACGAAATGGTTTGCTGATTTCTTTGCTACTATTTCATACTTTCAGATAATTGGCGATGAGAAAACTAAGGAAACAGCTGTGTTCGATAACTTCTACGAAATTGTGTGGGCACCTATACCGTATTTGGATGAAGTAATGTACTATGCAGCGTCGTCCGTGCCATCTGGCTATCATAATGTCTATTCAGAAGGCAGTTATATCGTCTTCGTTACCGGCAGCATGGATGGCGTTGCATATAGTTTCGTGCCTACATACAACAGTGCGTTTTTTTTTTTCCTTCCCGTAACTGCTTTCGAGAGGCTTGCACACCGACTGCAAAATGCATTCTACTTCAGTGGAATCGATTTTTTGCTATATGCGTCTGTTTTGCCAAAAATCGAGGCTGGAAGCTGTTCCTTTTTGCCGTTTAGTCATCACATCATTTTTTAGTAACTTAACTTTTTGACTCATTGTGTCGAAAGAGTATAGTGAAGTGCAAAGCAGTAAGAAGCAGGAATCAGTGGCATTTCTTCTCCCCCAACCACTTTCCGCACTCCGTCCCTCCTCGGCCCGGCTTTCTTTCCTCACTCCCTTCTGCTCGAAAACACTGCGCAGGGTTTGAAGTATTGGAAGCATGTTTTCACATACTTATCTACTGTACGATTCAAAATTGTTCGGTTGGTGGCATAAGCGGCTCGTCGACCGCCCCGATGTTCCGGCTTGTCGAGTTGGGTCGTTGACTCTTGGCGATAGTTCGGGGTAGTCGAGTCCACGTCTTTCGTAAATCGTTTGGGTCATCCACGCAGTACCACAACAGCACACTGGATCGAAACTTTCGATAATACTGATACAGCGGCCTTATATAGGCCACTTCGCCCCATTACATTATCTACCTAAGAGAGAGTCATGGTGCAACACAATTCCTATGTTAACCTACTATGTTGCGTTGCTTAACCACAAACGCAGAGCGAACTCTGTACATGCATTTCTAGAAAATAGCATTTCAAATTTTTTTAAAATTCAAATCGCCTTTCAGTGATCTTAGTCTGAATAATATAGAATAAGAAACATAAAATGGATGTTTGGATGCATTAGCTTCTATTGCTAACTTATCTACTGTGCCCACTAGAACTTTTCATTTTCTTCGTCCACTGCGCTCGTTGCAACCTGGAACCTCGCATTTTTTTTCTATGCATCTTTAACACCTGACAGTAATTTTCGTAATAACCTTATCGGACTTTTCTTCTGGCACAACCCATAACTGTCGAAATTATTTTGCCGATTTCGAAATGAATAAATAGAAACGCGCACCAGACCCACTGAACGATTGCCTATTAACGATTTTCATTACTTTGTAATTTGAAACCTTGAAGGGTGAATATCCATCCGTGATTTCCGAGATAATAATTTACCGCAAAAATTTTCGTGGGGCCGTAGGTGGGACCCGAAAGCGTGGGAACGCTGAATTTGAATTTGCAAGATCATTCGTGGGCAGGGAGTCATAACCCTGAAATTTCAGCTTCCTAGATTCTGTGGTACCCGAGATAATAATTCACCCGCAAAAACTTTCATGGGGCCGAGGATGGTACTCGAGAGCGCGGGGATGCTGATTTCGAATTTGTAAGGTCGCATTTGATCAGGGAATATACCCATAGAATGTCAGCTT